CCTCGTTAAGACAAATGAAATTTGGCTCTTTAATTGTCGCGCGTAAAATGAGCGATTATTAACCGGATGAGTCGTCGTCCGGGCAATTAGAGTTAGGAATTTTTAACGCCGATTATATGGCCACGTCGCTATCTGGCAGACCGTGTTTGTTGTCCGCTCGCACGAATTCAAACGCGCGTCCTTCGTGCACGCGCGTGTACGCCCGTCGATGCTTCAATCACGCGCGATTACGCCCTTATCGATAAACATTACTCTATACGGTAAACATTATTCTATTAACGCACATCGGAACGCGAGAGAGAAAAAGAAACGGATAACCGCGGGATAAGCGCCAGATATAAAACCTGACGATTCATCTTACGAAACGCTCGTTTCGCGATGCAAAATCGCTGCGCAGTTCGCGACAAGACCAGGCCGATCACAACGAATTAATTAAACTCCCGAGTGTTGTTTGCCTCTATGCGTCGCAAGTCCGCGAAACGCGAACGACGGAATATATGTTCTCTTTCTCTCACTCTCCGTCTTTCTCTCTCTTTCGCCGCGGGAGGAAAAACAGGATCGTGCAAATGGGGAGAAGTCGGTCCGGAGTAGAAGCAAACGGAAGACAACAGAGTTAAACGCGAAATCTTCATTCACGCAAACTCGTTCGAGAGATGACCGGCGACGAGAAAAAGAAAGTCACGTGAGAGAACGTGCGCTTGTATAGGTACATAGGTAGGCAGGCAGATCGGATCCAGGCAATTCCTGGCTCTCGGGCACATTCGAGCGACTCGTGCCATGGTGCAGAAACCGGTTCGGCACGATTATTAGGGGCGACCGAGAACGCGCGCGAGAGCGGCGGAGATGAGATCTTTCGAATTTTCGATGAGACGCGAACGAGAAATCCGAGAGCGAGAGCGGGCGAGCTTCTCTAAACCTCGAAGCGGCACGTTATCTCGGACGAAACAGGGTCATCGGATTGATCGGCGAGCCTTTCGAGGTGCGTACGCACTTTTGCAACCGTGGCAACGCGTGGGAGCGCGCACTTCCCGCCTGTAACGCCGAAATATCGATAGGGTCCTGCGATTGGGAAATTTATTCCTTTATTTATTCGCCGGCTCTTAAGCGATATTTACGAGTGAATTGTGTACACGGGAGTGCTTTTATTTAGCTAGCAGTTCGATCGTTGCAAATAGACGCTTTCACGCAAATAAAACGCAAATAATGCATTCGTAAGAAAATTTACATTATAACATTATATAAATAATATAAATGTGTTTATTATCTGAATTAATATAAATATCATATAAATGTATTTTACATAATATTTATATGTTATGACATATGATATGTGTTATATAAAATTTTATTATTTTAATTCTTGCATTTAAAATAACAACGGAAAAATTAATAACGGTAAAAAAATATATTGTAAAAAAATTAACATTCTAATATTCCAAATAACCTTGCATTGGAAAATCTATCTTTATTTCTAGCAGTTCACAAGCGCTACTCGCGTGTTATCACGGAAATTGCATGATATCTATAAGAAAGTCAACAATTCTCGATCGATCGCAACGTAAGAAAGGTCACGATAACAAGTAATTAGGAGCGAGAAATAATAGCACTCACCAAGGCTGGATTCGACGTGGATGGATCCGTTGTTCCAGGAAAACTTATCGATTATCGCTGTACGCTCTGGCGCCGATTTTTCTCGATGAACACGACGATTATGTAACATCACTCCAGGAACGGGCGATCGGCTGCTATTTTTTTTGCGATCCTTGTCGGTCGCAAATAGTCGCGAGGTGACGCGAGAGAGCTCGCGGCGTCATTTCTCCTCTTTCTCTCTCTCTCCTTCTCGACCTTGAAATAGGTGCCTATGACATCGGCGGGAGAGACCCGGAGATTAAAAACTACATACTATAATGATGCGCATTTTCATAACTTCTTCCTCCTCTCCCATCCGTTCTGCTTCTCGACGAATCAATCGGCTGATATCTGTCGCCGTGATAGCGGATGCGACGTGACGCAAACGTTAATCTTCAGCGTTGCAGCACTGCCAGAGAGATATCCGGCGGCGCTTAACAATAATGCACTATTTTTGTTTTTGCATACGCCCCTCTCTCTCTTTCTCTCTCTCCCTCAAAAGACTCGACAGCCATTTGTAGCGCGGGCGGGCAAGCAGGCAGGCAGGCAGGCACGCACGCACGCAGGCACGCACGCACGCGCGCACGCACGCCGTTGGCACCGTCGCGTGTTTACATGAGGAAGTACGCCGCACTTTGAAACGATAAACAAAGTTCGGTAAACTGGCAGTAATAGTGCGCGTCGTTTCACCTTCGCCCCCGTTTGTTTCATTGTCTAACGGAGTATTATGTAACAACGACGCGTTCTCCGACTCCCCGGACGTCGCGCGACACGTCTTGCGAATTCGACGCAGTTCGCGCTTGGCGAAGTTACATTCGTCTCTTCCTTCGGCAACGCTTCTCTAGTAAATAAAGCCGAATTCGTTCGAAAGTGACTGTAGTCACGCGAGCAATAATTTCCTTTCCCTTTTACAGTTCGGCAGTTCTGTTTAATGCCCGACCGCGTGGGCGAATAAGTCGTCGAATATCGTTGAATTTGAGGAAACACGCTTGACGAATCGGACGGAGGCAGTCGTTCCTTAAAAGTAATTTCGAATTCTCGGCAAACTTCAGTCGGTATCAGTTCGACACGTGAATAAATATCTCAAGTCTATTTGCAATATAAATTAATGTATATTAATTTTAATCTTTTCGACTTACTTTTTATCCTTTTTTAGTTGTAAGAAAATTTAAAAAAATAAAGAGTGAATTAAGTCGAGATTGATTGATTAATTCATATTGGTAAAAATATACATTCGATTAAATTCCGATTAATTCGTCAAATGATATTTACTTTTAGAGTTGTTAATTTCTGGTTAGTATAGAGTGACGAATATTTACAAGCAACGGGAAGCTATCAATACGTCGCGACTTGGATCGGTTTCTTCCGGGAATGAAACTGACGGTTTCTTAGAGGTGTCACGCGGCGAGGACGAACAATGATGATTATGAACACGACGGAAAAAGAGGAAGAAAGAAAAGAGATGAGAAAGAGGGGCCTCTGGGTTATTGAATCACTAATGGCGGTTGCGTAATGATGATGCACTGTTCGCGTTAAACAAATTGGCATGATGCCGATCCTACCTTGCTGGCAACAAGTCGCCGTAATATCGTCGGATCGGAAACGAGTGCATATACACGCAAACGCGCGCGCGAAAGAGAAAGAAGGAGAGGAGGGAGGGAGAAAATGAAAAAGCGCGCCGGACGGTGATAATTTCGAATCCTCGTAAACTTTACGCCGCTATCCGCTCAATATGTAAACGAAGCAGTTCAAGCCTATTCGAACAATATGAATTAATTTTAATCTCGATTTAACTTGCTTTTTATCTTATTTTAGTTTTAAAGATAAGAAGAAAGAGCGAATCAAATCGGAAATAATGTTAATGCACATTCTACTTAAAATTCCAATTAATTCGTTAAATATTTATATTATTTTATTACATAATTTTTTTGCTAATTTTTGATTGTGTAATATATAGGAGAAAAGATTGAATTAGAAACTAATTAAATGATTGTTTAAATTAGGAGCAATGTTGTCGGATGAATCAATCGATTAAGTTGATCAAAGTCCGAGAGGTGACTTTAATTAATATATAAATTAGATGCTCCGTATCTAAATTTGATCGCGTCGCTTGGGAAAATCAGAATAACATTATGTATATACATTATTCCGGATTCGTGTGCGCGCCATTCCGCCTTCGACTATCTTCTCGCCTCCTCCCCCAACGAGTCGCTCACTTATTTCTATGCGCGTCCCTCTCCGCTTGCCTCGTCTGCGCCAGTCTCGTCGTTCGACCGCCACGACTGCGCGATACGCGTCGAACGCGGCGTACGTGACCGGAGAGCGGTCTGCGCGCGCATCCCGACGCCGCCGAAAACAAGCGGCCGAACGCGAGCGGCGGCTTCGCGTCGGCCGTCTGCCGTCCTTGTCTGATAATTTCGACCATACGAAGAGACAAGGGCGAATGTGAATGCCGGTGGGCCGCGCGCGCGTCTGGACACCCTCCTCACCGCGGGAGGAAAGAGTCGATCTCCTTCCTTTTTCAGGGGGTAGGACACTCGCTTACGGCGTAGAAAACGCTGCTCCCGTATTATTACGGGCAAAATGGCGTGCGGGGCCGAAACCGGTGAGCCGAAGCGAGGCGAGCGAACGAGCGAACGAGCGAGCGGGCGAGCGAGGCGAAGTTCAGCGGCTCTCACTCGCGCGCATCTTCGCGCCTGATGATTCGCTCGATGATTCGAAAACGCTACAATCGGAAATATTAGATCCAATAGCCGTCGTCTCGCTGCGAGACTCTCGCATCGAGTAGCGAGGGGCGATTTGAAACGATATTGGATTTGTGGGGTAAATTTAAAAAGCAATCGTATGTTTTTCTTCCTTCCCTCCTTCCGCGACTTGACACCTGCTACGTGAATTCTAAGCTCTCTTCGCTCATATATTAACGAGATAATAGAAATATTATATATAAATTGCGACTCTGTCACTCGACAGCGTCGATGAAAAAAGAAAGAAAAAGAAAGAAGTAACGCGTAGAAACAGTCGCGAGTGACGACTCCAAGCGGTGCGACGCAGCGTGGCGCAGAAGTTTGAAGTTTTGCGAAGGTTAGGTTTCGTGGGCCTGGAAAAATCACGCGACCGGCCGCCGAAATGTCGCCGTGTGCAGTTCGCGTTCGCGTCGATGCCGAGATACCCCGAATTGGTGTCGCGGATTGAACGAAGCGACGACTTCGCTAATAAGCGTCGCCGTTTGCGTCATACAATCTCTCGCGGCCGAGGCCGTTGTCTGAGAACCACGTTTGCCTACGTGACTCGCAGGGCGTCGACGGAGCCTTGTGATTCGCCGGCCGACGGTGGCGAGAGAGGAGCCGAGGTGGTTTTATAGGCGCGGGGCGACCGCGGCGAGGTGAGTCGCGGAGTATTAGTAAGCAAGGGCGGCCATCTTGTCGAGCTCAGTCGGAAACCAACTGCCGAGCAGTGAGGGATGGTGATGAGGAAGAGAGGCCAGATGTGTTAGACGAAGGGTTTTTAATGCGCTTCCGAGCCCGATTGCCGCTACGTGAGGCGAGAGGCTGTGCGATAGCGACGACGGAGCCACGACGACCATCGCGGGGCTTTCGCGTGCAAAAAGGCCCGGTACATCCGGTTAAAAACCTTCAGCGGAGAGGGAGTTGCGGAGGAGCGAGGAGAGGAGGCGGCAGCGGAGGAGGAGGAGGAGGCGGAGGAAGAGGAGGTAGCAGTGAAGAGCAGGTCGCGGAGAAGGTTCTGGCGAGAGGCTGATAGCAAGCTCAGCTTCTCATCGACGGAAGGGCTTGGCTGTTTGGTTGCGAGAAGAGAAAGACACCGGCGAAGAAGACCGACGCCGTCGAATTTGGGAGAAAGGGAGTGAGTGAGAGAGCGGAGAAAAAAAATCCAGCGCGCGGAGGATGACCGACCGAGAGAAAGTGCAGTGTCAAAGTCTGTGATAGTATTTATTCAAAAAAACAACATCATTATCAGTAGCACCTGTGAACGTGTCATCGGCGTTCGCGAGAAAAGAGGACGAACAACCGCGCGAAGGACAGAGAGAGAGAAAGAGAGAGAGAGAAGAGGATAGGCTTTATATATTTATTTACATCTGTGATATCAACGCTGATATACATCAACCTTCTTCGCGATAAATACGTGACGAAGAGGAGCGACAGAGAGAGAGAGAGAGAGGCGAGAGAGCAACGTGAAGATCGAGAGAAAGAGTGGGAGGAGGAGAGAGAAAGAAATCGTTCCGAAGAAAGATTTATATCAGTATCTTAGTGGATAGGATTTTTGTATATACGACTGACTCTTTTTTATAATTATTGCTACCGGTGCGAGTTGCGGCAACGGAGAACCAGAACGTGCGCTCGGACAGATCTCTCGGACACAACAGTGAACCAGAAGATTCTCTAGCGATCTCTCCCGCGACGATCGTTTTGTAAAGGCGACGAGAGTACGCGAGAGGAAACATGGTGGAGAAGATTCTGGAGGAAAGAGAGGACGGCACTCAAGAGGCCGGACGAGGTGAGTCCAATTTCAATTCTATACGTTCCTACAATATATGCATGTCCTCCACCACGATTCCCACAATCATGACGGGATTACAGTCTCCAGGCAATCTGCTGTGAAGACCTTTTCGACTTTACTTAAATCCATTTGAAAATAATCGAAAAATATGATTTCGTTGTTTCAATTCTTTGCTCGAGATTAAATCCACGAAAAAGACCACTCTTTTTCGAACTCGATGTCTATGTTGGTAAAAAGAATCTTTGGATTCGTCCGCTAAAGAATTACGCGAGTTACGTACTAATCCTGTTCTACATTGATATTTGTTTTGCGAACCGGCTAACTACGGAGTCGGCTCGGCAAACGGCGGCCATTTTCGCCGGTCGATGTGTAGCGACCCGGTAACGAGTGCCGGGGCAAATGCTCTTTCGCGATTTGCGTTTTCACCGTTGTTGCGGGGCGCGATGGGTAGGGTAGAAACCACGGGGCGGAGAGGAACGATTGACAGATTTCACGCTTGAGTCATTGACAGGAAGAGAGAATGCCGGATGGACGCCTCGCGTTTGTTTAGCGATTCGCTTTCCGTCGCGGAAAATCCGCGTCGTCAATACAAATCTGGCGAGCGAGAAAGAGAAGAAGGCTCTCGAATAAAAAATTTAGTTTTAAAAAGTTAAAGATTCTGCAGAATATTGATTAATTTATACAGGAATAACAAACTTACTTTCAAGTTTAAAGTAGGAATTTTTTGCAATTTTCTATAATAAAATTTTGCAAATTTTTATTAAATAATAAAAAAAATTTCAACTTTAACTTTTTTGAAACTTTTTTCCTTTGAAAAGAAAACAAATAGATGATTCGCCAAATGCTAATTAATACTGCCTCCGTCCGTCAACTTGGAAGTCCCAGCGATGCTCTCGATGACCAAGTTCCGATTCACGCAAGCAAGAACGAGTTTCGTCACGGCGGTGTGGAATCGTGACATGAAACGGGCTTCCATTTAGGCGTTTATCGGCGAGCACATCGGAGCATCGCGCAGCGACTAACATCGATTTTTTTGTGCTACGCCGCCGTAGTTTTCTTCGCTTCGATATTCAACGCGTCGTCTCGCCTGGTCGTCACGTCTGGCTTTACCGTCAACAAAAACGTACCTAAATACGCTCGCTTCGTTTACACATGTCGTTTATCGCGTTTTGGCCGCGCGATCGTCGGATTAATAATACATATTCATGTCTATGTAAACGCGCGCTTTTCCGCGACTCTCGTTCGATCGAACATTCATCAATCGAGCGATCTGGCCGCTAATTATATCACGTCGGGAATTTTCTCTATCTCTCAGAAGCAGGATCTTGGAAAAATTCCCGAGGCCCCAGCGCCGCGTCTTAAATTATGCAACGCAATCGGATCGTCAGCGTAATAAAGTAAAACGGACGCGCGCGGTTAGCGTTCGAAAATAACAGGATGACGAAACAAACGCGCTCCGCATAATCATCTCCCGTTCGGACCTCTTCGGCACCTTCGTCATTGTCCGTTCATTGACGCAGTCGGTCCATTAATGATGCACACGCAACTTTTTTCATTTAGACGAGAGAAGAAAAAAAAGGAATAAAATAACGGCGAGGAAGTATCATAGAGATGAGAAATCTGAGGCCATCGAATTCTTTTTTGTTCACGTCTGCCGCGTAAAATAATTTTGCCTCGTTCGCGGATCGAATCTCGCTGAATCTAATCCCGCTTGACGCGACAATTTTTGCGCCAATACCACGCAAATTCGAAGAATTTTGGGGGAGGGAGGAGACGCCGTTTTGCAACGTCGTATTTCTAAACGGCGCGTCGTTAGCACAGCGGATTATTTTTTTTTTTTTCGAAGGAGAGAACGGGGAGGGGACAAGTGGGTTAGTCGGTATATACGATCCGAAGGGGGATTTCGAGGTTCCCGGCGGTCCGCGACGCGAAGGGAGAGCGCGAGTCGGTTATAGGGCGACCCAAACAAAGAATGAAGGGAGGAAGGGTCCCGGCCCGCGCATGTCAACTCGGCGCAATTTTAAAGGGAAACGCGTCAGGATTTTTAGAACAAAAGAGCCGGCTGGTTGCGTCGCGTTTCAAGTACGTCGTGTTTTTCTTTCGATCGAGTCGAAAAATCTGCCAAGAGGAAGGAGGAGGGGAAAAAGGTAAATTTGACATTCGACCACAATTAAAGATAGAATACTAGTTTACAGCAAAAAATTATTTTCGATCGGACAAGGTGTTTCTTATGGATTTTTGCATGATGAAAAACGATGTTGGAATTCAAATTTTCTCAACACGTCAGATTTCCAAAATCACTGAAATTTAATATTGCAAAAATGACTTTTTTGTGATATCGAAGATTTTTTTTATAAAAAAAATCAATGATACTTTGAAGTTTTGAATAGAAGTCATAAATATATCGTTCATTCCCTATAAAATGCATTTCTTTTTAACTTTGATATCTTTGGGAGCTTTACAACAAGAGATATAAATCGACAGGAAATCATTCTGTTTTTATCTCTTATTGAATCGAAGAAAAACAGAGTGACTCTGATTTGTATCTTTTTTTAGAAAGCTCCCTTTTTAACTATATTATGAAGAATTTTAATACAGAATTTTGTTAAAAGAGCAAAAGTCTGTCTTCACAAAACTCTGTAAAGCAAGTCCGCGACGAAAGTAGGGGAAACAAAGCGACTCACGGCCCCGAAATATACCCGATGACTCCGTGGACAGAAACGCGACAAGTGTGACTGTGACTTGACGAGTTTGCAACGCCTGCAAAATGAGACGCGAAATCTCCGTCCGTCCCGTCTCAGATCTCGGCCTGGGATTTAGTCTTCGGCTGAGTCTGTTGAACGTTTACATGAATAAATCCTGGGACGACTAAACGGGTGACGAGCATCGCCAGCCGAAACGAGGATCCTCTGTCCGATTCACCCGTGTCATATATGTGCAGCCTGACGTAACGATAACAGCTAGAAAAATGGAAGTCACGCTCCGGCACGTCGCGTGATTATTCCCCTTTCCGCTCAAACCCTTTAATTAGCTGACGATGTTCGCGTACCGTCGCTTTACTCGCTTTAATTTATGCGATCGTTAATAATACATTATTAGTGGAACGGTGTCACCTCCCTCTTGGATTCTCAGTCGGCCGTAACGTTCGTCGCTCGTTTTAAATCGTTAATACCTTTTTAATCGATCCAAGATGATTAAAATAAAAATCTATTTCCTATCGCTGACTCGTTTCCTGCGATTATTATTAATTATACTTTTGGAAGCGACTCTCACTCTTCCATCTTCAAATGGCTAGGAGAACCTTTCTGGTTTTCGATGTCGCTTTTTATGGCGTTATACATCGATGATATTTCTTTACGACGATTTATGTTAAAGAAATTATTATGCTATAGGAGAATTGTTCTGATACAGCGACGATTTTCGCATAATCAGCAGGAGCCGCGTACGCGCGCGCACAAGCACGCGGATAGAACACTATCGTACGTGCATATCTCGCGTAAGATGGCGGCGTTCCTTTTCTGTGCCAGTCATTGAACTCGTAGTGCCGGTCGTTGTGCGGCGTCGGTGACGACCGACCGAGGCACGAAAATACATTCGCTGCGCCACCGAAATTATGATCGCGCGCGAAAATGTGAGCGGACCACGGCGGCGCGCGTTGAAAGTTAACGACACCTGATACGAAATTGGGAATTTATCGGAGAGGAAAGAAACGAGATGAAGAGAGAGAGAGAGAGAGAGAAAGAGAGAAAGAAAGAGACGGACCTCGACGCGTGGCGTAGCAATTTTCGGAGGATTCAGCGAGACCATGATTTCGGTCGAGCTCCTGGTCTCTTGTCTCGCTTATTTTTGGATGAAACCTGAGTCTTTCACAGCTTGACATTGTTAGTTATTGTCTCCGGGTTCGAATTACGCTTCGAATTTCTGGAGATCCTCCTCGTGACGATCATCGAATCCTCCACGAACTCCATCCCAATTAAACTCCCTATTCCCTCGAGCCTCTCGAGCCTCGACTCTCGACTCTATATTTGTCATCGATTAACGCAGTCATCGTCACACGCGAGCTAAATATAACTCGCGTACAGAGAACCCGCGTTCGCAATCGGATTGCTCGAGGCAATTTCTGATTCAATAAAACGCATCTCTCTCTCCTTATCGTGTCTCGATTTAAGTGTCCGTCAAAGATCTTCTCCAGGACTCGATCATTATGCTCGTCGGAGACAATGAGAGACGAGTCGGTCGGCTTACAGTTACGCGGCATTCGTTCCCGGTTCCGATTTCTCCTCGACCCACGCAAGCGACCCGTGAACGTGTGGCCGTCCACTCTCGAAGGAGTGGCACGGAGTCGATTCACTCGCATACACGCGGTTACTTCGTTATTCATCGCCGCTTTATATCGCGAGCATCGTCGAGCTACGTTCTCGCCCACGCGATCGACGCCTCGTTCTTTTCGTTTCGAGACACCGCGCGGTTTACCGATTCCGCATTTTACTACCGAGCTCTTCGCGGAAGACAAGCCTCTTGTCAATTCATTTATGCGAGCGAGCAAGAATATTTCGTTCAATTTTAATAAATCTTCAGTCAAGGAGTTTTCATTATTCAGAGGAATTCGTGAAGATAAATATAACTTATGTATTAATTTGAATGTGCTTGGCGAATTACGCGATAGGACTACGGAATATTACGTTTTAAGTCTGGTTCGATATTGAACCGCCGAGGGGTAGATGCCCTTGACGTGACTTTCCGTAGTTTCGATCATTCTTAACTTTGTAGCCTAGTTAAAAAAAGAAAACGAACGTAGTTGAGAATAATATTTTTTCTTTGTAATCATCTTTACATCCTATGTGCTGAAAAATGAAAGCCTTATTTGGCAAATAATTATAATAATCGAGAAGGCTTGATATCTATGCAAGATTCGAGTAAATGAAAAAAGAAAAATTTGTAAATTGAAGAATATTCTCGTGTATGCGAGGAGATCTCTCCGTTATAAATTATACTTATTTTAGTACACGAAAGTAGAATCTCGCACAGAATCGGGTCTCTGTCGCGAAAACATCGCCCGACCGGCCCGATATACATCTCGTGTAAACGTTTGCTGCCATCGTGCATCTCCGACTTAACACACGAATGGTAAATCGCATACCGGTTACCAAGGGTCTCCCGGGGCTGCGCCTTCGCGCGAGTGAACTTTCCCAGCGGAGAGAACAGAGAGGGAAACGCCGAACTGCCGCCGCGGCTGGTATCGGCGGCGACCAACGGTCCCAGTTTTAGCGGCGGAATTAGAAAGTGCGAGGACAGAGCCTATACGGATCGCTGCAAGATCAAACCGCCGATCGTTGTCTCTCCGCGCCGGGGACACAACCGGGCGTTTGACTTTAGGCGGATTTTACCTTCGGGAAATTTTCGTCTCGAACTTGATCGAGTCGATCGACTCTTGCGCTTAAAAAGTATTACCGCCGTTCGATTCAAATTTCACGATCACTCCGTTCATCGGATTATTCCGGAGTACACGTGTCCGAAATACGCAGCGGAGAAACTATCGCAGAAGCTTCGAGAAGCTTTCATTGTTGTGCCAGCAAAGCAGTGGGGGATGAAAGGGCAACGGGAAGCGGAAGGGAATTATTGCCGTCTTCATTTATCCCCAGTTAAATCGATGGCGCGTACGCTTCCCATTCCTGCCGGGTACAAAAGTTCGGGTCCTCCTTTACAATCGAGGCACCCCTGTAGAACCCCCGGCATTCCCCCTTCTCCCCCCCCCCATGTGTGTTTTATTACGCAGGGGAAATAACCCCTGCGATATTCGAGGGCCGAGATATTCGGCCTGCGCGAGGAACCGACGAAGCGGCAATTTTCAATAACATTTTTCTCCCGTTTAATTATTGTCCCGTCGCTTTTTACGATTTATTTCTTTTCCGCTCGCAATTTTCAGGCCGAAGAAACGAATTGCCGTCGTGCGGCACGTAAAAATGTAAACGCAATTTAATTTTATGATGCGTGGAAATAGCCACATTGATAATTATAACGAGGCGCGGGCATTATTTTAAACCTTCGACTGAGAACATACGACTGATAACATTATTCACAAAGACATCACATCTTCCGATGAATGCATGTTCCCCCGCTTACGCGAAGATCCTTTTTTCATGATGGTTCATCGGTTTTTTTTCCTTTAACATCGAATTATTTTTTACCGACATATTACGATATGATGATGACGATGATGATGGGTTAGACATCTAGCGATGAAAGTTATCGTCGATGGTGAACTCAAGAGAGTGACTAAACAGTCGCGCGGTCGCGCGATGATACCGCCGGCGTGGCGATAAGAACTCACAATAATAAACGCGCGATAACGCGATACGCGAGTATTGTCACGTGTGCTTAAAGCAAACTCTACGAGCTGCTTCGTCCACAAATAAACACGCTCGTTGCGCAACCGCGTCTTCGGCAGCTTTACGTTTTACGACGTGCATGCATATTCACGCTGAAAAATTACTTTACTTTTTATTTTTAGACCGTAGCGCTCTTTCATCTTGGTATACAAGATCGAAGTCTTTATTTACACTAATTGTGTGGGACGTAAGCGAGTCGGATTAACAGGAAGTTTAAATATCTACGGCATGTTTACGAAACGGGCGAAACCTATTCGAGTTGATGGGGATCCATTAAGTCCGTTTTAATGGAAATCCATGAAAGCGGGAATTTGTGAGGAAGACGCGCTGCCGAATTAATTGCGATCTCAGACTAACAGCGGACTGTGTGCTTTTCAGGCGATGGCACCTGCCGGGACGTGGCCTCAACTGGGGAATCTATGAGCGCGGTGCAGGCCCGTCAGGAAGAGGCGAGGCGCAAGAGGCGCAGGAAGAGACGCTCCGGCTCATCCGTGGTGTCATCCTGCTTCCAAGGTAAATTCGCCGACATGCGAGAAAGTATTGGCGTGTCCGCAAGGAGATTCGCGCGATTGTCCGGATCCTATCGCAAGACGGGCAGAAGAGAGAAAGACAGAGATAGAGAGAAGGTAGGAGAGGGTGCGAGCGGAAGTCAGGTCGAAGAAACCGGCCGTTCTCGATCCTTCGATTCCAGACCGGA